AGCAGCCCTAGATCTTGGATACTTGAGCTGTCTCGGATTATCATGATGCCCATCAAAGGGCCTCTTGTGGTGAGTTGTGCTTTTTGATATTTCAGATGATGTACCTTCATCTTGCTTAGCAGAAACCTCTTGACCGGGGATCGACGATGCATCAAACTCACAGAAATCCTTTTCATCACTTTTATCTATTGTGTTAGAGTCAATGCTGACAGATGAGCAATTTCCTACATCAAGCTCCTTCTTCAAACTCACTTTACCGCATACAACATCTTCATGGACATTTTCACTTTGAACTTCCCTAGAGAGTGAATCTTTATCACCATCATCATTATCCAGATTGATAATATCTGATGCCCCTTCAGGATAAGATTCAGAAGCAAGACGATCTGTGTTGCCTGGTTTACATTCTCCATCTTCCTTCAAGTATAACAAATTGGAAGGATCCATACCTCTCCACTTCCTGCTGTTGTTCAGGCGCTCTTGACGAGCTCTCTGCTGCAAATGATACCCTTGCTTCCGCCATCTACCTGACTTCCGAGCTGCACAACACCGACTGTTTGACGGATGCCCATGCCCAATAATTAGGCTTGTTGAACTATGACGAGAGCCTGTCACAACATGAACAATATGAGTCAAATCACAATATAATATATGTGTGTAGAGAGAGAGAGAGAGAGAGAGAGAGAGAGAGAGTTGATTACATAAAACTGAAGATTAAATAAAGTAATGATGTAACTCTACAGCCTTACCTCTACGAGAAAGACTTTCATCATTCTTCTGAATGGGGGTTTCATAAACATCCATTTCAACAGAGGAACTGCTACAATCATCATCATCATCGAGTGTGTCCTTTCCATTCCCTTCCAAATTGCAGCATATCCATGAAGGTATTTGAAAATGCATGAGAAACTTGTTGTACTGAACCACAGAAGATCATGCAACAAACCATTCAGGTTTTCATATCAGATATCGTTCAAAAAAGAATAAACTGAATAATGATAATTCCAAAAGAAATCAAGAATATACATAATACAACTCAAAAGATAAAAGAAATAGAAAAAATAATAATAATCCATTAATAAATACAACACATATTTCCAACATGTGAGATGAAAATAAACCAAGAAAAGAATGAGATCAAGGAGTCCACCATGATTTTACAAATGCACATACACACTGTTTCCAAAGAAATTAAATGAATTCAAAAGGTAGTTGCACCATGGTTGCAAGAAACATGATAGCCTACCATTTGTCCAAAGACAGCTCCTTTGCTAGTTTATGTAACGGGTTCAGGTGGTTGGGCACCCAAAAAAAATAACAAAGCCACCCGGAAGAGAGCAGCAAAGCAACAGAATATGATTTTCAGCAAGTTAAAGAGAATAAGTTTGGGAAATAAATCACATCTCAATTAAATGAATTAAACATTGGAATGTGATTAATGTGAATTATATAAGAACATAAAACCTGAAAAAGAATACTTGACTATGATACTCCTTGTTTGTGGTTGTATGTACTTACCTGAAGATTTAAATTCTGGAGGTTGTGCATCAAGTCAAGCTCAAGAAACCCTAGTGATGTCAACCTATTATTTGACAGGTCCAAGATCTCCAACCTTTGCAGAGAGGACAAAGTCGAAGGTAACTCCACCAATTTATTATTAGCAACTTTTAATGATAACAAGGCATTTAAATTACTAATTTCAGCTGGCAAACTCTTCATCTTGTTGAATGAAAGATCTAGATATTCCAAATTGTATAAGCAGCCAATTTCTGGAGGGAGGTATCTGCAGGAAACACACCATAAAATGGATCAAGTTAAAGGTAACTATTTTTTACATTATACAAAAAATGAAGAAACCAATAGCCATGATGTAATGGAGGGCCATTCGGCTAAATATACAAACATTGCTAACCCAAATTAATGGTTATATCATAATAAAAACAAGAATTTCACTCAATAGCTAACCACATAGAGATAATTAACAACGGCATTATCGATCACTAAATTGCAGACCACCATTAATTGAAATAACATATTTCAAATAATACACAATTACCTTTGACACGTTTCATGTTTCTTTTCCTCAAGATCCATACAATATATCATAAAAGCAACAAATGTTCTTAAAGATTTCATGTTCCCAGTATAGTAAACTTGCATAGCAGCGCCTAGTGCATCAACTTTCTTTCCCCAATTTTAAGGTCTCAATTTAACATCCCGTAAGTAATGATTTCTCTTCTTTCCGTTACTTTTTGAGTGTTTGTTAGCAGTTGTGTGTCGTAGAGTTCATGGAAACTGAATTGTATGACCATAAGCATACATATATTAAGACAAACACAGACATTTCAGAATGTTAGAACATCACTCACACCAAAAAGTTCATTAAGAAAATTTTAAATTATCTCTTAAGAAAAACTCCAAAAACATCTAGGCATAAACACTAATGCAATCATTAAGTCATCCTACTCCCTCATCAAGCCTAACTTGTAATGATCCTTGAAGCTCAAGCTTCACTGATTTAGAACCTATTCTAGCTCACTAACTAGCCTAGATGCACAATGCTTAAACCATTTAGGAGCTCAACTTCAAGTGGGCTAATTTTGGAATACTAAATATGTAAGCTTTTAAGGGCAAATATCACGGTAGGTACAATCTCACTACTTATGCAGTCTATATCACTAAACAAATACTTGAAAGTAAAGCATTCCAATGAACCTGATAAAGAAGTGGCAAACAGAGAGCTTGGTGAGACACTTGAGCCCAGCAATCTCACTCAATATCTGCAACGCGGAAGGCCTCGGTGGCACTTTGGAAAGCTCAAGCTCTTTCAAGCCTTCCAATTTATTAAATGGCAACCCACCAAACTCCGGCGACGGTATCCTCACTTGCAAGCGTTCCAAGCCCACCAAGCTCCCGAACTCCGACGAACCCAACGGTGGGATCAAATTAATCTCATTCCCAAAAAACTTCAATGTCCTCAACCGCTTGAGCGCCCCAATAGACTTGGGCAATAAATTAAACACGTTTTTGTACAAATACAAAGCCGCAGCGTCGTCAAAATTCTCCCTGATCGAAAAGTCCAAGCTTTTCCCGGAGATGTCGAGAACTGCCGACTCGTCCTCAGCAGTGGCAGCATCATCTCCATCTTCCACAGTCGAATTGGAGGCTTCTGGTTCTCCACGCTCCTTGAGGTTTTCGAGGGCTTCGGGGGCAGCTTCGTCAGAATCTGGGACTTGCATTGAAAATCAGAGCTGTAATTTCAAAATAATCCAAATTTTTGAACTGCCCCGGATGACAGATCTGTTTGGGATGAGAGAAAATATAGGATTAATGGGCATTGGAGGAAAGAATGACGGAAAATAATAAGAGAGCGAGGGAAGGAAGAAAGAAAATCGAAAGAGGAGCGGGGAAGAAGACTGACCGCTCCTTTGTGAATAATTAGAGAGAGAAAAAAAAACCCTAGAGAGCCGAGAATTTAGTACTTTCTACTGTGTAGTTTCCCCGAAGCGAAGTACAATGAGTCACGCACTATTATCTATAAATTCCTGATTTGAGCACCCGCGCCACCGCGACTTTTCTTAGCAAACAAGTTTTGCAGGATCCTGATTTAAATATGAATTTGTTACTTTTTAATGTTTTGAGGTGTCAAAAATCAACGCACCGCATTGGATATTTCTTTTTTGAGAACTTTTTTTGTACCGTAGAAGTGAGGAGTGCGCTGAGCAATTTGGAAAGTACTTGACAAATTCTAAGCCAACAAATAAGAAATTACTTGGCACTTGAGTTTTGCTTGAATTTTTGTTTTGATTCATGAGTTTGACCAAATTTATTTCTTCTGCATTATCAAGTTAACCATTTTGATCTTTAGGGCCAGTTTGGCATTGTTGTGCTGTGAAAATAATCGCTGTCAGATTTGCTGTGAGAGAAATCAGCTGTGAAAGAAAGCAGTTTGGCGTTTGGTAAAATTTTTGTTAAAAGTGTTGTTGGTATTGATTTTACGCAAAATCAGAAAATGATTGCTGCATAATCATTAAACCCAACACCTCTTCGAAACTGATTCCTGCATAATCAGAAAATGAAAGCACCTCATTAGCTGCTTTCCCTTATAGCTTTCTCTCACAGCAATTTTTAATAATAAGTGATTTTTTCGCAGTTTACCAAACGGGTTGGGCTTCTCAAAATTTTTTAAAAATCACTTATCACCCCAAATAAGCAATGCCAAATTGGCACTTAATGTGTGAACTTTTGTGTGTTACTTTGATTTTTAATGTGTGAACTTTTGCGTGTGAAGTGTATGCACATTTATGTTAAAATTAAATGCAAATAACTAAAATATCTGATATAGTAAAATTCAAGAACATCAATTGAAATCGCAAGGACCATATTGAAATTATGAGTACAAGTAGAAGGATAAAAGAGGTATTGAACCAATTTTTAAATGCTAGTTTTTTTAAGGGTTATTTACTATAGACGTCCTTGAACTATGACCCCAGTTGCAATTGGGTCCGTGAACTAATTTTTGAGGCAATGACATCCTTTAACTGGACAAATAGTTGCAATTGGGTCCTACCGTCCAACTCTGTCAATTTGTCCGACAAAATGACGGGTAAAAGCGTCCTTTCGAGTCTGAAGAAAAAAACTGAATAAATAAATAAATAAACTTAAAAATCAAAAATCAAAATCAAAATCCCTTTCTCTCTTTCACTCTGCCTCTCCCTCTCTCTCACAACACAATGCAGAAAAATGACAGAGCAAAAGAGGAACCTTCATTGTGCTGCGATGCAACGTAAATCTACCGCTGAAATGCAATCAAAACCATTGCACACCCGCCCAAATTTTTTGACCGACCTGCAAATCTCACACGCTTTATTCTTCTCAGTTCCAATGCTGGAGTTCGATCTACATGTGATGACCTAGATTCGCATCATTTTACAGTTTGATGTGCGGGAAATTGAGCTTTTGAGTCGCAGCCATTACTGAGTCACTGAAACCGAGTTGCCATGGCGGGGAAGACGGACTCGGGTTCCAGCCGGGTGCCGTACAGAAACCTGAGGGAGGCGGAGGTGGAAATGACGGGAACAGACGGGGCTCATCATCGGATCGACCTTAATTCCTCTTCGTCTTCGTCCCCTAAGGTTCTGAATGGGACCGGCGACCTCTCGCTGCCACCGATTCAACCCGGACACAAATACAATACCCTTACGACTCTTATTCTCAGCTGTACGGTCTCCGCCAGTGTACAGTTCGGTTGGGCTTTGCAGCTTTCGCTTTTAACTCCTTATATACAGGTTCGATTTTGAATCTGGTTCATGCATACAAATCATTTTTCTGCATTGTGTTGTGATATGGGTTTTAAGGGGGGTAATGGGTTGCGAGAGCAAGGGAGAGACAGAGCGAAAAAGAGATGGAATTTTATTTTTAAGTTTATTTATTTATTTTATTTTTTCAGTTTTTTTCTTCAGACTCGAAATAACGCTTTTATCCCTCATTTTGACAGACAAATTGACATAATTGGACGATAGGACCCAATTGCAACTATTTGTCCAATTAAAGGATGTCATTGCCTCAAAAATTAGTTCATTGACCCAATTGCAACTGGGGCCATAGTTCAAAGATGTCTACAGTAAATAACCCCTTTTTAAATGTTGTTATCTTTTACATTCTGTTTAGATGGAGGGAAATAATTCGGAATTTAGCTAAAAGTCAGAAATTGACTATAAGAAATTGACATTTTCATTGTTTGGCAACTTAAACATGAAACTTATGAAATGAGCAGGAATTGATATTTCCATTGTTTGGCAACTTATTTCATGAGTTTAATGTATGCTAAAAGAGTCGTCATTTCACAATTCTAATTGAGCAAGAATTCGATTTCACTGTAATTTTTGTAAATTACAAAATTTGACACACGTAAATCCAAACACTAAAATTATTAATTTTTAGAAATTTAAACGATAGATATCCAAATTCCGTCATTTAATAATTCTATGTAATTTTCAATTCTTTCATCCAAGCGGAGGTTTATGGAATAACTCTCATCTGAAAGTAGTTATGCCAAGGGGGTCTTAGCCTAGTGGAAAAATACTTTGACTTGCAAACTAGTGGTCTTAGCTTCAAATCCCCGTTGTACCTTGATATTGTGTGTGAGAAAACTCTCATCCCCCTCTCTTTCCTTTCCTTGACTGTGGCAAAAAAAATTGAAATTAGGCACTGTGTGTAGTATAAGCTTGAAACTCCAATATATTTCGGAATTCGAAACATTCAAACTCTTGAGATACGTTGTAATTCCAATTTATTATTCATTTATTTATAATTTTCAGATTGCGGAACTTTTAAATGTTGAAATTGAATTTGAACTTGCCAAAACTTGAATTTTAGGATCGGAATAAGAGTTTTCAATCGAACTTGCACTCATACCATGATTGGCCACACATAAAAGGACTACTAGAAACCTCTTCCATCTCAAGTTCACATTGCTTGGGAGTTTTCTCTCCTAGTTTTGGCTTAAGCTAAATATTCATTGTGCTTGAAAAATGAGATGGAAGTATTTTGGGCTTGGTAAGGGCAACATTTTGGGATTGCAACTTGCAAGGTATAGCAACCCATGCCAAAAATCCATCCTAATGCTTCAGCTCACTAGAGCATTGCAATTTGCAACCACATGCCTAAATGTATGGACATGGTCGAAGCTCTTGAAACCCAATGTGCTCATGCGGAACAAAAGTTGCAGCTTACTTGCCATGTATTTAGAGTCCTAACCAATGGGCCCCATACATTCATTTTGTTTTTTTAGAGCCCCAATTATTGGGATACCATTTTAGATTTCATTGGAGCTCTAAATGGAGCTTCATCAGCACTTTTTAGATCAGAAAAATTTGTAAGAAATGGGGATAGTACTATCAATCACAGACTGACGCTTAAAAAAGTTATTACGCATGACATATCGTAATTGGCCGAGAATAACAAAATAGTGTTATCCTCATTTTATGTACTTGTTTCTTCATTTAGAGCACCGATCATTTTGTACTTTAGTCTCTCACTGTTCGCAAGAGGCACTGTGATTCATTTTAGTTTTTCAGCCTAGGCTTCTTTTAACTAGAACAAAAATTTAGACGGATTCGTGTTTGAATCTATTGATTCAGACTATTGATTAGATTGATTCATGAAATTTAGACCGTTGACTAATCTTTTTCTTTTTAACTTTTGTTAACGCATGGGTCCCATGGTAGGATCATGACCTCCCATCTTGACCATCTGGTATACCTGCACAGCCAAAGAAATAAGAATTTTAACAATGACATGGCAAGATCAGAGCCCTTCAATGTACCAATTGCACAGATTTTACCCGGAGGTTACAAACCATAAACTACCCGGCCATCATACATCATGCATGCAAAACAGCGAAACACGGGACCTCATCCACCGCCTAACGAACTCCTCGTCGAGCTATCACAAAAAGAAATATCAAAATTAAAATTAATTTTTACAACCGAATGCCCCGTCGCTCTTCTTCCCGCCCTTTAAATTGAGTCTCTCTCACTCACATTTCTCCACAATTCAAATATTCAAAACTCTCTCTCTCTCTCTCCATTCTTCAAAATCCAAACACTCGCCCGAGGTTTCTTCAACCACAACGACGAAGATGATCGCTACTCTCAAGTAAATCACAGATCTGAAAACACCTTATCTTCGTTTCAGTTCGAATCATAGAGCATATTCTTCTCTATAATTGAAACCTAACGTTCTCTGTGTGACGATGCTCAGAGCCGAAGAGCAGAGCCAGCTACAGCTCGTCGAACGCGAAGACATCGACGATGAAGAGGACCTCTTTGAAGCGATCGACAAGTGTAAGCTTCTTCACGACCCCCGCTTCACTTCGCTTTCCGTTCACATGCTTAATTCTCGATATATACCACTTCGAATCGCACATTATTTTCGTTTAAATTCAGAAAAATAGAATTCGTTAACTATTTTTCTCGATTTATTTAAACATTCATCGTTCCAAGATTGATATCTGTGATTCAGTGTTCAGAGCTGAATCGGATTTCAATTTTCTTTTGGATTTTTAAAATTCTGTTCGATTTGCTCTGTTTTTGTAAAAAAAGAAACTCCAAAAATTCTATGAATATCTCTTCGTTTAAGTAATTCAGTTTGATTTCTCAGTGAAATCGAACTAGTTTTCCCCGATTCTCACTGTAGACGTAAGTTTTGAGCGACTTTTGCTTCAAAACTGAGGAAATAGAGTTTTGTGCAGTGATTGCTCAGGGAATCAATGCCGGAGATATTAAGAAGCTTCAAGACGCTGGGATCTACACCTGCAATGGCTTGATGATGCATACGAAGAAGGTAAAACGAATTTAAGTTCTAATTTCTTACACTGAGCGCCTGTTAAGGTCCGATTCCTTACTCTGATTTCTGTTTGGCAGAACTTGACTGGAATCAAAGGTTTATCTGAGGCTAAAGTTGAGAAGATATGCGAAGCTGCTGAAAAGATAGTGGTTCGCACTCAGATTTTCTTAATCTGAAACATTCTTATGAGATTCTGAAGTTTTGTGAATGTTAGCCTTCTTCTGGTTTTTGTTAATGTATCTTCTTTTTTTCACCAGAATTATGGATATATTACTGGAAGTGATGCTCTGACCAGAGTAAGTTCAAAGTTGCGATGGTTTTGATTTGACTTTGTGAATCAAGAAGATCTGAGCCGTCAGATCAAATTTTCTTGATTTACGAACGCAATGATCTACTGTGAAGCTGAGGAGTTGTTTTTTGTTTTTGTGTATAGAGAAAGTCAGTTATCCGCATTACAACTGGAAGCCAAGCCCTGGATGAACTGTTAGGCGGTAATCTTGGGCTCTTTGTTGTTAAAATGATTTATTGTGTTTCTTAAATTGCTTCAGTTAATTTGTGCGTAAATAAATTGAAGGTGGGATTGAAACTATGTCAATCACGGAAGCCTTTGGGGAATTTCGGTGAGGCACTGTTTCTTTGATGCATTATCACCGTCCATTTCTTGTATCGAATTCGAAACTAAGAAACCTTATTTGCAATTCTAATATTTTGATTTGTGCTTCTTTACTAACCATATAAATAACATTGATTTCAGGTCTGGGAAAACACAGCTTGCACATACTCTCTGCGTTTGTACACAGGTTCCTCTCTCTCCTTTAGTTATGCCGTAGCATACAGGGAGGTCATTAAGCCATTGTGTAAAACTCTGTTCTGGTCCTTTACTAACCAGAGCTCAACTATATTGAATAATGCAATCTGATTCAAATAACACAAGATAGGCATCAAGCTTTGCTGATTGAGGTTGCCTTTTACTTTGCAGCTTCCCACTAACATGAAGGGAGGGAATGGAAAAGTTGCTTACATTGATACTGAAGGAACCTTGTATCCTTCTTGTTTGTCCATCCCATTTAATATTTCATACTGCACATTTCAATGCAAGCAAGAATTGTCTTAAAAAATTCCACCAAGTTCAGTTTAAGTATGTTTTCTTCTTAACTATATGCACTTGCAGCCGACCCGATCGAATTGTGCCCATAGCTGAAAGATTTGGGTTGGACCCAGGAGCTGTCCTTGACAATGTAAGTTTCATTTTATCCATATGCAACAGTTAAACTAATGATGCAATTATTGTGAACTAACTGTATCATTTTCTGCGGCTGCAAAAGATCATTTATGCTCGTGCCTATACATATGAGCATCAGCATAACCTGCTTCTTGGTCTAGCTGCAAAAATGTCTGAAGAGCCATTCAGACTTCTGGTAAGATTTCACTAACAAAAACTCTCTTATGGACAATTATCAAGAAGCTAGGAAGATTGATTTTATGTCTTCATATTTTTCAGATTGTGGATTCAGTGATTGCTCTCTTTCGAGTGGACTTCACTGGAAGAGGAGAACTTGCTGACCGCCAGGTCTGCTCCATGGATTCCCTGCAATGCCTATAACATTTCAGATTTAGATCTTATGTTGTTCTTTACCATTCATTTCTCTTTTAATAACATAAGCAAATTTTAATATGCAGCAAAAACTAGCTCAGATGCTTTCCCGATTAACAAAGATAGCTGAGGAATTCAATGTTGCTGTCTACATGACCAACCAAGGTAATTAGTGATCGACCAATTTTGAAGGCCCTTCCGTGCTCAATCATTTTATAAGCTTATTGGAAAATCACATAATTGTGCAGTCATAGCTGACCCCGGTGGCGGAGTGTTCATATCGGACCCAAAGAAACCTGCGGGAGGACACGTCCTTGCCCATGCAGCAACAATCAGGCTCATGTTCAGGAAAGGCAAAGGTGAACAGCGCGTCTGCAAGGTGTATGATGCCCCAAACCTGCCTGAGGCTGAAGCAATATCCTTCATACTTACTCTTAGCGTAATTACTATACTCTGAATTTTCTGATTGCCATCTTTGGTGAAAATTTTGATCCTAATAACCGAGATGACAAAAAATTGTAGGAAATGCCCATATTTCATTCGTTTGTTAATTCTTGACAGATATGCACGTTTTTCAGATAACTGCAGGAGGCATTGCAGATGCAAAGGACTGAGGTCTAAGGCTTTTCTTTGACACAAGAAATACCGGAACATTTCAATTTCATGCTATATATATATGTGTGTAGTTTGTTCAAAACTCTAATGATATACAACAATATATCCTAAGTTTTTTAAAGCATAAACATAATGCAGTAGCATGATATGTAGAAGTTGAACTACAGTACCAGTAAAGGTCTGTATCCATTGTAGTATTATTTGATGTTCTATGCCAGAAGGTTATGGGCCTTATGGCTTTTGACAGTAAGCAAGTATATAATCATGTCTTACGTCCAATCATCATATAAACTTTGGTAGCCACAGGCAACAGAGTCAATCAAGATGGAAAACACTAGAGAATAGATGGATCAGTTCAGAACTAATTCAAGGTCTACTTAGCAAAAGCCTCGCCAAGAAAATAGATATAAACTCAGTAAGTTGTTGACCAGTTGGCAGCACTCCCGACTCTTGGGATGCCACTCGATTCCTTCTTAGCCTCAGCATCAACCTTGAAATTGGCACCACACATTTGACCTGAACTATCCACCCTTGGCACCGCCTTCAACTCATTGTGGGGATGCTCATAACTCCTCAAGCCTCCAGAGGAAGTGAAGAAACATCCTGACATGATAGTACCGAAAAAGTTGTTAGCAGTCTAGCTAATGTACTAAGGAATCAAATTAAAAGTCCATGCTAAGACCAAGCAACCGAAAAGGAAGAAAGACCTAGATCATCCTAATGAGCAACATGAGAAAACCGCAACATATTTACAAGTGAAGCAATTGAATGCACACAACTATTAATTTCATACTACTATGGCAAATTGAATGCACCCACATCACCCCCAAATTAACTTGAGAGATATTCCATAGCTCATACACATCAGTGGCATTGTATTTTCGACTATTAAGTTAGCTGGAACATCGTACAATGCAGAAAGGATTCCAAGAAAATGCTAAACAGTTTTTTATATCAGGCCTTTGTCATAGTTATACCTTTGGGAAATGGTGCAAAAGAATTCCCACAGCCCTTCTTCACAACTTCTGCATCGTCTGCAAGAACAAGATGGCCTTCAGAATCAGTTCCCCAGAAGAACGGAACATTCCCATCAGGATCCTGCACAAGACAAGCACTAAGCTCAACTACAAGAGCAAATGACCAGTAGGAACAAAGAAAGAGACCACAGGAACTTGAAAGCAAACATTGAAGAACGAGTGACAACCGAGAGATGCTTTACTTACAGCAGCTACAAAAGTGGCTTTGGAAGCACTGTCATAGAGAATAAATGCAAACTTCCCTTGGATGTCTCTCACAACCTGATCAGCAGGATAAGGACCTCGATCTCTCAGAGTTCTGTATGCTTCAATAATGATGATCACTTCATTGGCCGTCTTGTTCAATCCATATTGTTGCTTGAGAAGCGCAACATTCTCAATGTGGCCTTGGAACAGGCAAAAAATGTCGTCCACAACCGCAAACAGCCTAACAATATACGATGAAATATATCAAACATTGAATTGAAGTGGCATCAGGACAAAAAGAAAACTAAGAGTTATACCCTCGGACAAGAAAAATTTGTTGCTAAAAAATCGACACGATAACAAAATTGGAGTTAATTGTTCTTTGGCATGTGAAAAAAATCGACAGTGTTTTCATTAGCATGTGAAATCATAAAGTACCACTGTTAAATCTTCTCCTCATGAAACAACAATAGGAGGTAAGCACAACAAAATCATAGGATCGATCTTCCACAGCCGAAAACAATAAAAAATTATAAACGAATGTAAAACAACAATGCAATGATCTCATTCCAAAAAATATATACCCATAACATTTCAAAAACAAAGAGGATATAGCCAAAGAGTTAATCTGTCCTTTTGTCTCATTTCTCCTGCAAATAAACCATATGTTCTTTGTCTTCATTCGAAGAAACCATCCAATGAAACCATATAGTCTTCATCAATGACTAACTCACCCAAATAAATACAGATCATTTAAGCCCTTTACAATATTTTAAAAAATAAAATAAAGCAGAAAAATGATTTCGATAAACCTATCAGGGAATGCCAATCTCTAAAATTTATTCTTACCCAATAGAGCCAAAACACATACTATATTTTTTTTTTTTTTTTTTTTTTTTTTTTTTTTTTTTCACTAAGTTACAGAAACTACTGCTACAGATTTAATCCAAATCAACGTTTTCCGATCACCAGAAGCAAACTAAAACACAAACAAAATGAGAAACCCCCACAGAAAAAACCAAACAACTCACAAATCATCAAGCTCAGATCAACCAAAAACTACAGAAACGATCAAAAACAAAGAAAGGGGCAATCTTTAATCTCTGGTTTTCTTAAAGGGTATCTTCCATTTCTGTTTTTTCTTTAACAAGGGATGGCTTGCGAAGTTTTACCTGGGAAGAAGAGGGTTCTGTTTGTCAAGAGAATAGACGATGAGACCAGAAGAGCCAAAATTGACAGTGACAGAAGAAGGGTGCACAGAGGCAAAGTGCTGCGCGAGAAAGCCATCTTTCAGAGCCGAGACTGATCCAGACTGAGGGCTCTGCAGAGCCTCGGGGCTCTTAGCCACCGATTTGTCGAAAACTGCTAGCATTTTGTGGATCGTTGATCCAAGAGTCAAAGGCAGAGAATGGCTTTTGGGGCTACGTAGAAGATGGAAAATGGATTATAATTGAGGTGGGTTACTTTACTGGTTATATTATAAGCTTCGAGAATGGACTTGTTATTGCCAATATTGCCCTTGCTACTATCCATAAAATTACACCCATCTCTTCCTGTTTTAGCAGTAATAATCTTGTGTTTTTTTTCTTTGGTACAACGGAAGATATACTTTCTATTTCGGGCAAAATTGGCTATGATTTTATAAATCATTGCAATAATTAATTTTTTAAAATACAGCCAAAAAAAAAAATTTCAAAAAATTCAAAATTATCCTCATTTAAGAAATATTTTTAAAGCACAACAACTTTATTTTAACCAGACAAATTTGTAAAATAATATATTAAAATGTAAATAATTAAAGAAACAAAAATATAATACAACTTCATGTCCAATAAAAGTTCTTCATTAATTTCATAAAAAAAAGAAAAAGAATGATCACGTGAAGATTCATAAAAAAAGAATCATCACGTGAAGATCACAAAGTTATAATTTCAAAGACAAATCGTCTTGTTTTTATGGATAAAAGTGATAGTTTAGTTTTTTTTTTAATTTTTATTATTTTATAATTAATCTAAACCGGCCTACTCTAGTGATGGTAGCACAAGGATTTAAATATTAGGGGTGGTTTAAAAAGAAAAAAAATGTTGTTTTCTACCCAAATAGTTAGATGGGGCACATGCCCTAATTATCACCTCTTCACGTGATTAGTTATGTTAAAGGAACAACATATATGGGTTAGATTCGAGTTTAAAATTTTCATATTTAGATATCGCGTGGTAAAAAGAAAAAAGACGATTTAATCATAATAACTAACATATTAAGTGAATTTGTGAATTTATAGTGTAGTCTTAAGACATTTTGGTATGGAGCATGAGAGCATGCTTGAAACATTTCATTTAATTTATTGGTGAATTTTGTTGTATACTTGTATAAAGAGCTTATAGTAAATGGCTTCTTCTTAGCTAGAAAGAATAAAAAGGCTTAAATATATTAAGAGCTAGTTTCTTTTTCTTTATTCAAGAGCACAAGAGCACAAGAGCACAAGAGCATAGGAATTGTAATCCTTGTGGATTTTATAAGATTCCATAACACCATGAGGTTTGGAATTTGGATTGGCAGCATTTTTTCTTGAGAGACCAATGGTTGAAGAAGATAAAGGAGTTATTTTAGTAAGTTTCTTTCTAGTCTATTTTATTTAATTACTAAATAATAATATTGAGATAATTAAAGCTGAGAGCTTCTTATCCACTTGTTGCTGGCGTGGCAAATGGTGGCGGCGGCGGCGAAAAGAATCAAAATCAGGAGGAGGGGAGGGAGGGATTGGTTTTGGTGGAGGCTCACGAGAATAATGGTCAATGCTTTCCAAAGGTACACGTTTTTAGCTCTTTTGGACTATATCAAAACATTTGTTGAAGTGAAGTAAAGTTAAAGACTTGTAACTCAAGTGATTAAAAGTATTTATTCTTGCACCAGATGTTTTAGGTACAAAATTAAAGACAAAAAAATCTACTTGAGCAACAAGCAGAACATTAGGAAAAACCTGAGTATAGCCCTCAGCTAAAAAAAAAAAACCTAGCGGATATATATTTCTGTACAAAAAATAAAAAACCACATATAGCCGCGCGGCCATACTATTTATAAATTAAAAAAGGTAAAAAACCGAGTATAATCGCGCGGCTATACTATTTATAAATTTAAAAAAATATAAAAACAGTTTATAGCCGACCGGCTATACTATTCCTTTTTAAAAAAATTTAAAAAACGCGTAAAGCCGGTTGGCTATACTATTCCTTTAAAATAAAATTTAAAACCCGAGTATAGCCGTACGGCTATACTATTGCTTTAAAAACTCAAGTATAGCCGGTCGGCTATACGATTTCTTTAAAAAATTAAAAAACCCAGTCTAGCCGTACGGCTATACTATTCCGTTAAAAAATAAAAAACCGAGTATAGCCGCCCGGCTATACTAGAGCTTCCAGCATAACAGGCCAGGAATTAGCTCCAAATTTTTCGGGCCTGTCACAACTAATTAAACACCATACACACCTTTCCTGCTGCCTCATTTGATCCATATTTGAGCCGGATGAGCGAAGTAACAGATTTTTTTGGAGTTTCACCACAAGAGGAGACAGAAGGGAAGGAAGTAGGACCAATGGGAGGAGAAACTTTGGTCCGACTGAGAGTAATATACCTGCCACCAAAAAACATAGATAAATACACAAAACCTCAGTTACAAATATCCTTTAAGACATAAACATGCTATGACTTGTTTTTGGAAAACATAAAAATTTGTTTTCAAAAACTGCACCATGGGTTTACCAGCCAAGCAGACAATATGTGTACAACAGTTCAAAAACCACAACAAAAAACAAGACCCAAAAGGAATTTGAAGTAGGGAGGGTCCTAGAAAAAGGCAAAAATAGCACAAGATACTGTCTGAATGAAGAAAAAAAATTCAGAATCGGAAGCAGTAGAGTTGAAATGACATAGCAATACAAGGTTCTCCACTGAAAAGGAGCTAGATTCTGAGCACAGACAAGTTGATAATCAAACCAGAAGTGACATTACAAATCATGGGAACACCAGATTTTTTTTTGGGGGGGGGGGTTTGGGGGGTTGGTGTTGGTGTGTGTGTGATGCACAAACCCCCATTAGTAATCAGTGACCCATAACATGAATAAGAATTTCACCAGATGCAAAGCATCTTCAACAATGAAGAGATTTACCGAGATCGGTTCATACAAGAGATACTGACCTGCAATAATATTCAGGATTTGTCTCCTCTCTTATATCAAATGGACGACATGCATCAACTACCATCCGAATCTCTGAGGACCCTCTATTGATTAATATAATATTCCACAGATGTGGCATGAAATCCAAGTAACCCCTAACAAGCTCACAATGTACTCGAGGCTTCAATCGATCACATAGATACTACAAAAATTAAGCTTCATCCTATTGCAACAACAAATTAAAAGACAATGCAAATAACAAACATCAGTACAAACAGATATTAAATAATAAAAGATCTAGATATTCCAAATTGTATACGCAGCCAATTTCTGGAGGGAGGTATCTGCAGGAAACACACCATAAAATGGATCAAGTTAAAGGTAGCTATTTTTTACATGATACCAAAATGAGGAAACCAATGGTCATGATGTAATGGAGGGCCAATCGGCTAAATATACAAACATTGCTAACCCAAATTAACGGTTATATCATAATAAAAACAAGAATTTCACTCAATAGAAAACCAAATAGAGATAATTAACAAAATTGCAGACCACTAAATTGCAGACCACCATTAATTGATAAGAACATATTTCAAATAATACATAATTACCTTTGACACGTTTCATGTTTCTTTTCCTCAAGATCCATAAAATATATCATAAAAGCAACAAATGTCCTTAAAGATTTCATGTTCCCAGTATAGTAAACTTGCATGGCAGCACCTATACTACACGTTAGGATGTGCATCGACGTTCTTTCCCCAATTTTAAGGTCCCAATTTAACATCCCGTAAGTAATGATTTATCTTCTTTCTGTTACTTTTTGAGCGTTTGTTAGCAGTTGTGTATCGTAGAGTTCATGAAAACTGAATGGTATGACCATAAGAAAAGTTCATTAAGAAAATTTTAAATTATCTCTCAAGAAAAACTCAAGAAACATCTAGGCATAAACACTAATGCAATCATCAAGCCTACCTTGCAATGATCCTTGAAGCTGCTTAAGCTTCACTGATTTAGAACCCATTCTAGCTCACTAACGACCCTAGATGCAGAATGCTTAAACCATTTAGGAGCTCAACTTCATGTGGGCTAATTTTGGAATACTAAAGATGTAAGCTTTTAAGGGCAAATATCACGGTTGGTACAATCTCACTACTTATGCAGTCTATATCACTAAAAAAATGCTTGAAAGTAAAGCATTCCAATGAACCTGATAGAGAAGTCGCAAACAGAGAGCTTGGTGAGACACTTGAGCCCAGCAATCTCACTCAATATCTGCGACGCGGAAGGCCTCGGTGGCACTTTGGAAAGCTCCAGGTCTTTCAAGGTCGAGCTCTTTCCGCACAAATAGGCCTAATTTAATGATTTAATTCAAAAATATTAGTGGAGAGAAGCCTAAACATGGAATTAGACGATCACTGAACAAAATTAGGGAAAAAAAAAAATCTACTCGAGTGACGAGCAGAACAGCGGACAAAACCGTGTATAGCCGCACGGCTATACTATTTGTTTTTTAAAAAATACCACGTGTAGCCGAACGGATATACTATTTCTTTAAAAAAACAAATCCGTGTATGGCCGCTCGGCTATACTATTTATAAATTTAAAATATACAAATTTATAAATAAACCCAATCCTAGACATGTATTTATAAAAAAACCCAAGCACTATTTAAACATAGAAACACACCCAAAATCAACCCCAAAGTCAACTTTTTGGGTGTGTTTATAAATGGGTTTTGAGTATGTGTAATGATGGGTTTTGGGTGTGTTTATAAAGTGTTTTGGGTGTTGGGTTTTTTTATAATTTCAACCTCCATTTTGGGTGTTTTAGTGAAACTCCCTTTAAAATATTGGTAAAACCAATTATAGCCGGACGGCGATACTATAAATTTTTAAAAATTGGAAACAACCGCGTATAGCCGCACGGCGATACTATTCCTTTAAAAAAATTAAAGACCCGAGTACAGCCGTTCGGCGATACTATTTATAAATTTAAAAAATAATGCAAAACCTTATATAGCCGCGCGGCTATACTATTTCTTTGAAAACAATAGAAACGGAGTACAGCCGTCCGGCTATACAAATTTTTTTTAAAAAATAAAAAACCGAGTATAGCCGTCTGGCAATACTATTTGTAAATTAGAAAAATTAGAAAAAACAGAGTATATCCGCCCGTCGATACTATAAATTTAAAAAATTTGGAGAGAGAACAGCCGCCCGGCTATACTTTTTTTTTATATTATTTTTTTCAATAATATGTGAGAATTATGTATATTATACATGAATTTTGTGTGTATTATTAAAATTTGATAAAAAAATATGTATGTACATGTAAAATATAAGTATTGTACATTTGTTTTTTTAAAAAGTGAATTTTATCAAGTGTTTAAGGCATGTATAGAATACAAATGTATTATTGAAAAAATATGTGTACATGTATAATATAGTATGAAATGTGAAAGTGCTAAATTCTTTATACTAGTAACAACATGTCAAAAAATAACTATAGTATTTATGACTCCCTAAACTAAAAAGTATGATTAGAGTTCAAATTTTATAGAGAGCTCCTAAAATAACCTTTGTGTGTTTTTAGCTAAAGTTTAACTAAAAAATATGAAACATGATTGTACATGCTTTTAGGTGCCTATGTGTCAAAAAATCTATAGCTAGGCGGCTATACATTTTTTTTTCCTTTCAAAATTACTCTTTAAATACATTATATTTAGAAGGTATAGTTATATTCAGATACCTTAGAATAATTCTTATATGCCATCTTACATCTGGTACTGCATGCTACTTTAACCAGCAGTTCACTAAACCAGGGCATTTCAAAGTTTCAACATATTTGAAAACCAAGAACCAAGTAATATAAATATTTAATAATTGGTTACAGAAAAGAAGTATCTGAAATACTCTGCAAGGCCCCTCCTGCTGTTAAATTAGACAACATGAAGAACCAAGCAGTTCAAACCCGATTGTATCCAACAGATTTGCTAAAAAGCTTGCGAATGTATACGACTTGCAAAGCACTCGCAGCAGCCAGCGCTATATACTCTCCCACTGTATACATCACAACACGCCTCCTTGTGCTCTCATTTGCTGCGGCAGAAAACAAAAAACCATGTCCTAAGAATCATAAGATGTGTTGCTTGCCAGATTCTAAAATATAGATACATCTACCAAATTATTTTGCCAGGTTCTAAGAATCATAACCCTAAACCCTTTTATCACTTTCTCAATTAGTTGCCTAAAATATTCTGTTGAAAATTTTAATATGATGAATTAAGACTTGAAAACTTTTAGCTAACAAATTTTAATATGCCAGCCAGGTTTGACCATACTGAGCACAAATTCTTCAGTGCTGAATATTCAGCACAAATTTATTCAGAACTTAATAGTTGGAAGATAAATTTTCATTTCTATCAGACAGCACCTAAGAATGATAAAAAATTATCCAGAAGATACCATAAACACACACACACACCACACACACACACACACACACACACACATATACATATATGGTAATGATGACAATAAAGATCCGATTCATAAATAAGGCATAGATCTAATTGCCAGCAGGATACACTGATATAGCATGACTTCATCATTATCAATTTTCTCGGTAAAGAGGGAAAAATAACTTACTATGACGATGCCGAACATCACGTGCTTTCAAGTACTTCTGCTCTAATGTAACTGACTCCAATGCCTCTCTAAGCTCAGCAATTTTAACATTTATAGGGTCTAGATGTTCTGCAAGAAATCAAAGATAAACAGAGATATTATTGAAAAATCAGTCTCAAACACGTTCCTGGGACTGAAGTTCCAATAAGATTTCATTCTTGAACCAAAATCCATTTTTTGACTTATTTCATCTATTGTCAATAGTCCTTGTCACTATAGTCCCAAGAAGCAATTTATAGTCCAAGGCAAAAACTAATTTGGAATACCAGTTCTAAGATTGAAATAAAAGAACACAATGAAAACAAAATTGAAACAGAGTTTCACAAACCATCTTTGGCAATATTGTGCTCGTTGGGAATATGGCCAACATGTATGTTAAAAGAGACAGTCTCTGGTGTTGAGTAAGGATTGTGAAAACAAAATTTGTACATTCCGCTTCTTGGGGCCTTAAATTCAAACTTATCTCCAGATGTTCCCTTTGAAGTGTGCACCGTGTTACCCCCAGGAGATGTCACCAAAAAAAAAAAAAAAAAAAAAAAAAAAAAAAAAAAAAACCAAATATTACATATTAAATTAAAAGCTATTTGAAAGAAAACGCACCTACGGACACGGCCTATAAAAAAAAACGAAAATCTAGTATACTATAACAAAAATCATGGATGTTTAAAAGATATCTAGGAGAGAAACAACAGATACAGAATCCTTCTTAGTTCAACTACAGAAAGATAGTTCAAAGCCTGCAAATACTTTTCCATTCCTCTCAAGACACAAACTCTAAGAAACACATAGGGAATCTTGCTTCCAAATATCATTCATATGTCTACTATTTAAACTCCCATCTAGCCAGATATAACATTTGCTACGCTCTTAGGCAACACCTAACCAACACCAAGCAATGAGAAAACAGAGTCCATAATTCCCAAGTTACACCGTAGTGAATAAGCATGTGATGAGCTGACTCTTCTGAGTTCTTACAACCAAGAACCTGACCCCTTCTGGTCAAATTATCCAATGTCAAAATCCTTCTATTTAAACAAGAACCTAACCCATTTTGTTGGGGATAGAAAAACCACCTACACTTCCCAAGGAAAAATGGGCTGATATAAATAAACCCAACAGTGCAACATAATAAGATCCGAATCATTTGCAGCAGAAGAATAATAATTGTTATAACTAGGTAAATGGTATTTTCATATAGCACAACAAGTTGGCTCCTAATGACACTGTTATCTAGTTTACAAGGACTACACCCATTCGGTAAGGCTAATCTCGCTATAGTTCAAAGTCCTTTACTCAATATCTAAGTTTTAAAACTTAAAAAAGGAATCACCTCAACTATATCTCTGCTGTTATAAAGGCCCTATCTTGCTTTATTGTTAAACAATAAAATTTACATAATTTGAAACTTCCCAATTCAGTGGAACATGAGTTTGAATTTGAAGACACAATTGAAACTGAATTTTAACTTTATGAATTTATCACAGAACATTTGAAAGTTATAGCAATCTAGGTGGTTAGTTTTGCAAATTGCTCCAAACCCTTCACCGGGTTCTCATCAGTTCCTACATACTTAAACTATTCCTAGTTCCTTAATGCTGCTACAAAGACTTCAAAAAGACAAACTTTGCTCAGTATTCATGTCAACGAGTAATTCCGATTTGGGAATTAAAACCAATAAACTCTGAAAATCAAACAATCTTCACAACTGGTTTGGACTTACAAGTATCAAGATTATAGCTTTAGTTACCCGTTAAGTTCCGAAAGGCAAAACCCTCAAATAATTCTAACAAATTTATATATTAAACAATTCAAAACCTCAATTAAACTACAAACAGATCTATTCCACACCCGCAAAACCCCCACAAATTAGTCCCCCATAAAAACTCTAAAATGCCAATTTGGCTCAAACCTCTATGCAATTGCGTTTTGGGAAAAGAGGAACTCACGATTAAATCGAGGCCGGGATGATCGCTGCCCCAGAAAATATCGTGATCGACCACCACGAAGTTCCCCGAAACGGTGTCGTCTTCGTAGAGCACGTACTCGTATATGCATTCGATGTCGTTTACGGTCACCGAAAGAGATGCGATTTTCCCGACGAAGCTCACAAGAAGAAGACCCATTAACATCAAAGCCTTTCCGCTCCACTCTTTCTGCCTCCCTTCCATTTTTCTTCAATTTTTGTTTTTTGTTTTTTGTTTTTGTTTTTGTTTTCGGGTCTGAGAGTTTCAAACTCTAATCAAGCTTGAAGAAGAGGAAGCGCGGTGGCCTTTGTGTGAGTCTCAAACAATTCAATGGCGTTTCTGGTTTTGCTGTTGCCGTGAAAACGCAGACTGAAACGTGTCGTTTAACCATACGTCCTTGACACGTCGCTCAGGCCACGTAACCAGCCGAGTCAACTTAGTCGTATTGGGGGGCCATTGGGCCTAAGATTTTTGTGGGCTTGGCCTTAGGCTGTAACTTTTGGGCAGTTAACCACACAAGTAGTAGAAGCCCACCAGCACTTGTGTCTAGCATTTTTTGTTTTTCTTGGGGGTTAATTGGAATGCCCTCGGGGCAGAAAGATCTCTCCTCTCTTTCATGAGGATTGATGTTCAGTTATCAAGGAAGCATTTGAGAGGGGCATCACCTTCTTTGATACTTCATATATTTATGGCCAAAATCATGATAATGAAATCTTCGTTGGCAAGGTACTGTCCTTTCTTTTTTCAAGTTTGAATCCATGCTTCAAAATTTGATGAACATTTGCACTGAGCTTTGGGGATTAATTCTTTAGTAGGGATATTTTGGTAGAAAAGTTGTTAAAGATATACCTTTTTTTTTGGGGTGTGTTTCTCAGGCTTTGAAACAGCTTCCAAGAGAAAAAGTTCAATTGGCTACAAAATTTGGTACTTTTATGTTGAACGGCGTTACAGTTGGGGTAAGAGCATGTTGTGAAGCTAGTCTTAAACGGCTGGCTGTCAGCTACATTTTGATCTGTACTATCAGCACCGTGTGGATGTTTTAGTGCCAATTGAGGATACTGTAAGCATGTTTCCCTTTGTCATTCTATCTTTATATCTTGATGGCTATATATGAATATATATATATATATATATATGTATTCTGTTTTGAATTTTATGTTTATGTGAGGAAGATGGAGGAGCTTAAGAAGCTGGTAAATGAAGGAAAGATAAGATACATTGGTCTATCAGAAGCCAGTGTTGACACAATAAGTAGAGCTCATGCTGTTCATCCCATCACTGCTGTACAAATGGAGTACTCTCTGTGGAGTCGAGAAATCGAAAACGAAATAATTCCACTTTGCAGGTGTCTAATTTTTCACCTCTCAGTTCAACATTGTCAAATTCGTAAGCTTATATTGATACTTCTGTACTTTCAGGAAGCTTGGAATTGGGATCGTGTCATATAGCCCGCTTGGTCGTGGGCTCTTTGGTGGGAAGGCAGTTGTAGAGAGCTTGCCTGCAGACTGTTTGTTGGTATGATAATCTTCATCCATAAACATATGCATAATTGGCGTTTTTTTATGACATTGTTGAATATGCATAACATGAATGCCTTCTTTGGTTAAAGCAATAAGGTTTTCTAAACTCACATTGGTGTTCTGTGTTCCAGTCTAAACATCCAAGGTTCAATGGGGAGAACTTGGAAAAGAACAAACTTTTGTACAGTAAACTTGCCAGCCACCCTTGCTGCAAAGCATGCATGCACTGCTCCACAATTAGCTCTGGCGTGGCTTCTCCACCATGGAAATGACATCATCCCAATCCCCGGTAGGCTTATCTCTTTCGCTTAAACAGAACGCCGTCTTTGCTAAGTGAAAACCAAATCTTAGACCTGTCTGGTGTGCTTCTGTTTTTTGTCAACTCCTGCGTGAACACAGTTTTGGACAGAGACATTTGTACTAACCAAATTATACTTATTGTCCAATTTGATTATATACAGGGAAGACTAAAGTTAAGAATTGATGAAGTTAGGGGCGACCGAGAATTTGAATTTCTGTCAAAATATGCCCGGAATTATGCAAATCCCCCTCAAAGCAAATCCCAATTATGGAAACAGATGGTAACTGAAAATGTGAGCATTCTGTGATAAATAAGCAGTTCTGCTTGAACTCTCCTTGAACTCTCCTTGAACTCTCCTTGTATGTTCAGTTCATGAATATACATATATATTTTTTCCCAAGCTAAAGTTGGAACAAATTAACAAAATAAGTAACCCCAAATTTCTCACTAAAAATTCCGTAAGAAATTGCCACTTATGCATCTAGTTTTCATTACCCGATGTAAATTATCATCCAAATGGCTTGGTAGTACAGATTCCGAGTCTCTGCATTTAAGGATTGTGCATTTATTCGTATTTCATAAAATTTAGACCATTCAAATGCTGGGTATGCACATCAACTACTTTTCATGACCAATACTTTCAGTCGATTTTACAATGAATAAAACATGTCGTTCTGTCCATTGATCCATACGACATGCTAAACTGGGCCAAATAGTGTCGCTGGATTTCTTTAAGTGAGTGTTTTAATCTTCACCGTTGGTTGGAACTTGAAACCAACGGTCAAGATGTGCAACGGAGAAACCGCGCCTTTGTTATAAACCTCTGGCTCTAATTTCATACACCAAGCCAGAACCCGTAACAAACTCTGTTTTTTGGTCAATCCAGTAACCGTAGAGTTCTTTCTTCACCTTCTGAGAATCTAAAATCAAGTTTCTTACTGAGCTTTTTTCTAGGGTTTATAGTTTTCTTGGTAAGAATTATCATGGAAAACGAGAACATTTCTGATCAGAGAGAAGAAAGTGGAGTCCCCAATCAAGATTCTCAAAGTCTTGATCTTGAAGCTCTTCAAGCGACAGCAGAACTGAAAAAATCCACCATGGATGATAAGGGCAGCGCATCGATCTCGACTGAAGAAATTGTGGGTCGTGACCAGCGTACTGAGTTGGTGGTTGAGGAAGAAAAAAGTCCAAATATGAGTGGGGTTTTGCTGGGTAGGACTGAAGGGTTGAAAAGTGAAGAAGAAGATATTGTGAAAGCAAAGTTCTTGAATGGAAAAGAGAACAGTACTGAAGATGGGGCAGTTGCTGATCAGCAAGGCCTCAATCCTCCTCTTCGTTCTGAAATTGCTGAACAGAAACACGCTGCTGGTTCAGAATTGAGGCATTCTTGTAGTTCTGAAGGAGATGGGAAGGAGATTGTGGGTTCAGATGAGATTGTGAAAGGAGAGGTTGTGGAATCAGTGTTCTTGAATGAAAAAATGGTGGGTTCGGATGAGAATCTGGGTTTGATAACTGGGTCAGTATCAGTGGGTGGACAAGAAAAGACTGAAAATGGGAAAGGGGTAGTTACTACTGATCAACAAGACCTCAATACTCTTGTTCCTGAAATTTCTGAGAAAGAGCAGATTGGTTCTGGTTCAGGGTCGAGTTTATCTGGTTCAGGAGGAGTCACAGATCAAAATTTTGAGTTTGGAAAGAGAGCAGATGACGTGACATTAGGAGAGGCTGATGAATCCAATCAAGAATGGAGGGATATCAAAGAGGCTATCATGAGAGCAGATCAGCTGGACCTAGAGTCTTTTGGCCTAAAGATTGAACGTCGGGTGCGAGCTTCGGTTGAGGACATGGTGAGATATCCCCAGATAAATTCAAAGACAATGAGTCTCTCTATAGGTGACTGGGAGAGAATTCTGGAAGCTGATCAAGTACCTACGCAGAGAGAACTTGGAGAGCTGGAAAAGAAAAATGTTGAGATTACATTCGAGAATTTGTCTCTCGAGGCACAGATAGATGGAGAGCAAAGAAAGATGCAGGCATTAAAGGTGCTTTCTGAGTATATGGAAGGTAAACTTGGTGTTATTAAGGAAGCAGAACTTGATAAGGGGAAGACCATTGCTGAACTTGAAGAAGAAACAAAAACTGAAGTTGAGAAGGAAAAGAATGAGATTCATGAATTGCAGGAACTAGTTAACGTGGAAGAATCAAAAGAGACTGAGTTGAAAGTGGAGATGCCATCAAAGGCCCTAGGGCTGCTGCATTGGCCTAAGCTGCTGATGTCTGCCGGTGTCGTAATAACTATACTTTACACAGCATTGAAGATGAAGCGAAGGTAAAGGAGGAAAATATGACAAAACTGCTCAGCAGTCCTCTTGTATTGGGTAGCCATAGGCCATTGAGAGTACAAAAGTAGATACAGAGAGAATTTTCCGAGATTTGGTTGATCATAGTTTGGATCATGTTTTAGTATCTGTTGTGTTTGGAATTGGTAAGCTCACTGTGTCTTTACCACAAAATTAGTGAGAAAGTGTAATAGATTCAACGTGAAGATTTGAAACAAATAAAAATCATGTCTTTCTTTTTGGGGAGTTTTGTACCTTTCATTAATACATCATCTTTTGCATATATTTTATATATGTCAGCTACTTGTTTGTTTCTTCTTTAATTAGTGGGGGATTTCGGACTTGGGATCTCTTCCGACTAATTGCTAGTAGGTATGTCTGCTACTTCTTCTAAGCAAACAAGTTTTATCTCTAAATGTCTGGTCATTGTGTGCTGGTTCTGTTTATATGCCTAAAAATGCTTTTGGTAGCTCAACTGTATGCCAATCTCCTTGTATGTTTAGGAGCTTTCAATTCAAACTGAAGTTATGACTGTTCTGTTAGTTTCTACCCATAGGAAGCCATAGCAGATGCTGACACTTGTAGAGCACAAAATTAACATGCAATATGAGGTTTATTAATTTAAACCTCAAGTATGGCTAAATGACAGTTTGTTCCCACATGATAGACAGTTGTTCAACTTGTAATAAATCTAAAAACAGCTGTCTATTTGGATTTTTTTTTTCTTTCTTCTTGTATCATTTTTCACATGTTATAAGAATGGATATTCTTAACATAAAGAATAGACAATTTGATTTCTCTATTAATGCACTGCAAGTTGCTTCCAATAAGTCAAGAAAAACAAATAAATAAATAGAGTCAGTGTCTGGTGCCTTGTAGTTGGTGAGAAGTATTACTGAACAAGTAAGCTAGTTTCTCTGGTTACATGTAAGCAAGTTTTTCATTGTAGAACTATCTCCAGCTACACTCTGGGTTTGCTGAGAATGGAGGACAAGCCCCAGATTCAAATGCCATTAGTTAAACTGGGTAGTCAAGGATTGGAGGTAAGCTTGTTTTTCTCTATCATATTGGTGTGTATAAAGTCAACTATATTGTTCTGATCAGTTTAGAACTATCTGAAACAATTAAGAGCAGCATCTGTCACAGTTTATCAACATTCATTCCCATCATGCTGAGATTGCCAGGCTGATTTTCAGTCGTTTTCTAATCAGTTCACTGTAGCTATTTGATTTTCAGTTTCTTGGTGCTTTGACTATTTAAGTCTTGCATTGTGGGTAACAGTAGAAACAAAAATTTTGTTTGACTTGGTGTTTGAGAAATAGAGAGTGAGTCTTCTCTGATTTTAGTGCCCTGAATCATACAACTGTTTGTACAACTGGATTGCACTCACTTAGAAAGAAAAAAACACATTACATAATCAAAGGCTAATTTCAGATTTAGCCAGTCCTTTGCAACAGTTTGGTATATACTTCATTGAAAATTGGCATTTAGTCCACGTGGGAAAATTATTAATTGGTTGTTACTTATAAAGAAACTCACTGTTCCTTTCTCCTCCTGGGTCTTTTCTGCAATGTAGGTTTCTAGACTGGGTTTTGGATGTGGAGGACTATCTGGAATATACAGCGGTAACAAAGCTCCTCTCTTTGATGAAGCTGCGTGCTCAGTTATTGAGGAAGCATTCAATAGGGGTATCACTTTCTTTGATACTTCAGATCTTTATGGCCAAAATCATCATAATGAATTCTTGCTTGCAAAGGTACTGTTCTTAATTTTTTTAAATTTGAATGCAAGATGAGATTTGATGAACTCTTGCTTAAAGAGTAAAAGAAAAGCAATACAACATAAAGTTTGATAAGACATGCTATCTAAAAGTGGGAAAACTTGGGTAGAAAATCGTTAGAGAATTCCTTTACTCTTCTTGTATTTTCAGGTTTTGAAACAGCTTCCTCGAGAAAATGTTCAATTGGCTACAAAGTTTGGCATTGTCATGTCGGACAACTATCAATTTGGAGTGAGGGGGACCCCTGAATATGTCAGAGCATGCTGTGAAGCTAGTCTTAAGCGGCTGGACGTCAGCTATATCGATCTGTACTATCAGCACCGTGTTGATGTTTCTGTGCCGATCGAGGACACTGTAAGCATTAAGAGACCTTTTCCCTTTATCATTCTTCTATCCAATGTCTCAATGAACATACAAGGTCAACAATATCTATATCTTTATATCTTGATGGCTACATATATTATGAATTATCTTATGCGAGGAAGATTGGGGAGCTTAAGAAGCTGGTAAATGAAGGAAAGATAAGATACATTGGTCTATCAGAAGCTAGTGTTGACACAATAAGAAGAGCTCATGCTGTTCATCCAATCACTGCTGTACAAATGGAGTATTCTCTGTGGTGTCGTGAAATCGAAAACGAGATAATTCCACTTTGCAGGTTTGTTAATACTCTCACCTTTTAATTCTGCATTGTCAAATTTGCTTTAAAAAACTTGGATTTAATTGTATTGCAAAATCTGAGCGGAGGGGAGAATATTATTGATGTCACCAAGTTGAGACCTCTAAACTTTACAGGCAACTTGGAATTGGGATAGTATCATATAGCCCCCTCGGCCGAGGGTTTTTTGGTGGTAAGGCAGTGGTAGAGAGCTTGTCTGCAGAGAGTTTGCTGGTATAAAGCTTGTTTAATTTGTTGCATAGACTTATTTAATTTATTAGAGAAATCACCTTTTAAATTAAACTCACATTGCTGTGATCTTGTCCCAGTATACACACCCCAGGTTCAATGGGGAGAATTTGGAAAAGAACAAACTTCTCTATGGCAAACTTGCCAACCTTGCTGCAAAGCATGCATGCACGGTTCCTCAATTAGCTCTGGCATGGCTTCTCCATCAGGACAATTATATAGTCCCAATCCCTGGTATGTTTGACTCTTTCTCTTGATAATATAATGCTATGTCAATATTGTAGGTTTTAAAAAAATAAAGACTTTAATTAATTTTCTACTTTGAATATACAGGGACCACTCAGGTTAAGAACCTTGATATCAATATTAGATCATTGGATGTAATGCTTACAGAAGAGGATTTGAAAGAAATTTGTGATGCTGTTCCCATCGATGAAGTTTGTGGTGACAGAGAATTTGCACTTTTTGCCAAATATGTCTGGCACTATGCAAATACCCCAGCAAAGTAATCAAAACTACGGAATTTAACAGCAAAGCGCAAGCCTTCAGTAAATAACTTTTTATTTGTTAGTATGCTAACCATTCTGGTTTCCTTAGTTACACTTGCAAATTGTAGCTCTAAATTGATGGTCAGTTGGTTATTGTTTTCTGGTTCTGTTTGTATGCCAATCTCCTTTCAAATTCAGACAAGGGTTTTGACATATCAAATTATCTCTAGTTATGCATTGATGCACATTTGAGCATGAAAACAGTACACAGTGACACAATTTAAGTAAAACAATCTGCAAGGGAGGATGTATCTATTAAACCAAAATTGCCTTGCTGAAAAGTGTGAGGCAAACATGCTTTCATAGTGAACTTTGATGAGGCAAACATTTGAAGTGGAATGGGAAGTAAACATGCTTAGTTTGTTTTTTTTTTTAAATATAAAACATTTAATATTAGTTTTAAGGTTAATAAAATAATGGATCTCCATATAGACAGTTAGTCTCACATGTATTATCTTTTAATGTTTTTCTCCTCAACAGCAAAGTACTGAGGGGTCAGTAGTTGCTGACAGTAAACCGAATAAATAAGTAAAGTCAATGTCTGTCTACTGCAAAGTGGCCCCTTTTAGAAGTATTGAAGTTGGTGAGAAATAAACATGCCACCTGAAATTGCAAGCTAGTTCTTCATTGTAGAACCATCTCCAGCTACGCTCTGCTTTAGTTGGAAATGGAGGACACGTCCCAAACTCAGATCCCAAGAGTTCAACTGGGCAGCCAGGGATTGAAGGTGATGTTTTATTTTTTATTTCCTTCTCTCACATTGATCTGTATGAGAAGTCAACTACATTATGCTATCAACTTGGACCTATCTGAAACATTAAAGAACAGAATCTGTCACTGTAGTAATTTTTATTTCCGTTTTCAGTTCACTGTAGTAATTTGATTGAAAAACAGTTTAGGAATATGTGATGTGTTTAAGGTTTATGGATTCGATCAGAAAACTTTGAGAACAGTCTAATTTTCAATTTTTCATCTATTGGGTACAAAAACTGAGTTTCAGACTTTCAGCATCTTTGATGGGTTATGACAATCATCTACCACAGATGGGTACAGGATGATCACTCACTGATTGATTTATCTTCAAGCTCAAAAGAAAAAAGGTCCAATCTTTTTAGTGTTTTTGACAAATAAGTCTTGCATTTGTGGGTAATTTAGACACAAATTTTTTGTTTGATTTGGTTTGGTATATACTTCATTGGAAATTGGTATTTAGCTCAGGGGGTAATTACTTCTCAAGAACTTGCTATTCTTTTCTCTTCATGGATTTTCTTCTGGACTGTAGGTTTCTAGATTGGGTTTTGGATGTGGTGGATTATCAGGAATATACAACGCTCCTCTCTCCCATGAAGCTGGATGTTCAGTTATTAAGGAAGCATTTAGTAAGGGCATCACCTTCTTTGATACTTCAGATATTTATGGTGATAATCATGATAATGAAATCATGGTTGGAAAGGTACTTTTCTTTCTAGTTTTTGTCAAATTTGAATCAAGGCTTCTAATTTTGGATGAACACTTGAGCTAAGCATCTTTGGTTATCTAAGTTGGCATTTCCATTGCAGTTCTCTGTTTCACTTTGTTCAGGGGTTGAGTGGCAATATAAAGAGGAAAAAGAAAAGCAATACCACATTATTTACCTTGTGTTTTCTTTGCAGATATGCAGCATGTTAAGTAACCCATCGTGGGATATCCATAATATGTTTGATAAGACATGTTTGTTAAAGTGGGAAGGTTTTGGTAGAAATTTCTTAAAGAATTCATTTAATCTTCTTGTATTCCAGGCTTTGAAACAGCTTCCTAGAGAAAAGGTTAAATTAGCTACAAAATTTGGCATTATCAGTTCCGGCGGTTTTCAATTTGGGGTGAATGGGACCCCAGAATATGTAAGAACATGCTGTGAAGCTAGTCTTAAGCGGCTGGATGTCAACTACATTGATCTGTACTATCAGCACCGTATTGATGTTTCAGTGCCAATTGAGGATACTGTAAGCTAAGCATCGAGAGACTTTTTTCATTCCATTTATGATCCTGTCTATCTAACTATCATTATGACTGTTCTGATTGGAATTATGTTTTGTGAGAAAGATGGGGGAGCTTAAGAAGCTGGTAAATGAAGGAAAGATAAGATACATTGGTCTATCAGAAGCAAGTGCAGACACAATAAGCAGAGCCCATGCTGTTCATCCCATCACTGCTGTACAAATGGAATATTCTCTGTGGACTCGTGAAATTGAAAACGAGATCATTCCCCTATGCCGGTTTCTTATTTTTCACCTCTAAGTTTTGCAAAGTCAGATTCACAAGTTTAGTTGCCTAGGTGAAGATTGTTGATACCACTTTTACTTACAGGAAGCTTGGAATTGGGATAGTATCTTATAGCCCACTTGGACGTGGGTTCTTTGGTGGGAAGGCAGTTTTGGAGAGCTTGCCTGCAGATAGTTTGTTGGTATGTGACTTGAACGAATGATGATGAGTTCTTATTTTCATAATCTTCTTCCAAACCAGATTCATATTTTATTTTAGTGCCTTTTTCAAATTCACATTGCTGTTCTTGTCCCAGTCTATGCATCCAAGATTCAATGGGGAGAATTTGGAAAAGAATAAACTTCTCTACAACAAACTTGCCAACCTTGCTGCAAAGCATGCATGCACTGCTCCACAATTAGCTCTGGCATGGCTTCTCCATCAGGGCAGTCACATAATCCCAATCCCTGGTATGTTTGAGTACTCTTTCTCTGTAAAATAATGCTCTCTTTACCATGCTATGTAAAACTCAAATCTTCATATGTACAGAGAAACTGCAACCGTTAATTGAATGATACTTTTTTTTTATTCCACTTTGATTTACATACAGGGACCACTAAGGTTAAAAACCTTGATATCAATATTGGGTCATTGGATGTGAAGCTTACAGAAGAGGATTTGAAAGAAATTTGTGATGCTGTGCCCATTGATGAAGTTGGTGGGGAGCGAGAGTATGAAGTTTTCTCAAAATATGTCTGGAATTTTGCAAATACCCCATCAAAGTGATCAAATTTGTGGAAACAGAAAATAAATTCCAAAGCTTTAAAGTGCTTTTGTGTGATGAATTAGTAGTTTTCAAAAACTAAATGTCCTCGAGATGAAAAGCTGGTTCTGGAAATTGTGAGCCTAATCTAGAACATTCATGATTAACAATTTACATCCTTTTCTGATTTATCAAACGTTTGATATTTCAACTTCAATTGTATACAGCTAAGATACCTTGTCCTTGAAACAAACGGCGGGACCTCAAAATCTCTGACTATAACGTTGTGCTGTGTGAGGGGAGCCACGTCCTTCCTACCACCATGTAAGGACAAGACAGCCATAAATACCCAGAAAGCCTTCCAAGCTATCAAACAAATGACATTGACAGAACAAGAAACCATCTCCCTTTTTTTCTCTGCCATTACTGATTTAGCTTAAATCCTCAAAAAAAGTGAAGAGCTTGAACAAATGTGACCTCAGAAATCACCGGCTGCTGCATAGTGGTGTCTGCAGCTGCCACGTCTCTCACTCCACCATCTGTGGACAAGAAAACCCACGGGGCAAATTCTTACTGGGGAGGCAAATGAGTGACGTGGTGCCAAAATATTCCGGTCATGAGCTTCCCCCTCTAGGGCAATTACCCTATAAAACGCCACTCAAGGCATGCAAATTAGATAAACAAGATCTCCAGAACAACCAAGCCTTAAAGTCTTTCTATATCTCTTCAAGTCTTTCATTGAAGCATAAGTACTACAATGGCTGCCTCAGCTTCCATGCAATCAATCCTAGCAAACTCAGTGGTTTATGGAGCTGGAAAGAGTGGATCAGTGAGAGTGAGCCACCTGGTTCCTGCTAAATATGCACCAACATCCCACAGGTACCCTCAACTGAGGGTACGTTCCATGGCAGAGGTAATTTATTATTAAGCATCTAGCTTGGTGCCTTAATTGTATTTGTCTTTTGGGTTATGTGCAGTTTTAGCTGTAGTAACTAAATTAGTGATTCTAATTAACCATGATTAATTAATGTTTCATTTGCAGAATGGTCAGGAAGAGCAACCATCTACAACACCAGAGGCATCTAAAATTCCTCCACCACCCCCTACACCTACTCCTTCTCCTAAGCGTAGTCCTAAGGTTAGCACAAAGTTCTCCGACGTGTTTGCATTCAGTGGGCCAGCCCCAGAGAGGATCAACGGCAGGCTTGCAATGGTGGGGGTTTGTTTCAGCTATGGCAGTGGAGCTATCCAAGGGGCAGGATGTGTTTACTCAGATATCCGACGGTGGAGTGTCCTTGTTCCTTGCCACAAGCATTTTGCTATCGGTGGCATCTGTGATTCCTCTGTTCAAAGGGGTGAGCGTGGAGTCGAAATCAGATGGGATAATGACTTCAGATGCTGAGCTGTGGAATGGAAGGTTGGCCATGTTAGGCCTGGTAGCTTTGGCCTTCACTGAGTTTGTGAAGGGAGGAACCCTAGTGTAGGTCTTAATCATTGTTGTAGAAGTTTTCCACATGTAATTATTCTGTACGAATCTTTATAAGAATATCCCATTTTTCATACTCCACGATCTTAATAATATGCATACCCTTAATATCATGAAAAGATAATGCTTAATTAGTCTCTCTCCTCAAGTATCAAACATTGATGCACCAAACTGGAACCACTATGTGGGCCGCCATGGGCTGTAGCCCAGGAAGGTTTTGGGAATAAAAAATAAATTTAAACCATATAGCTCAGTATTTTAATCCAAAAATAAATAATAAAAAATATACAATTTCATACATTATCAACACCAATAGGCATAGTGAAAGGTCTATTTGTTGTCAAAGATTGTCCCAACATCAATTTTAATCATTTTTTCATTAATTTGTCTCCAAAAGAGAAGCATTTTTCTAAATGAAATTCACCATTTTGTGAATAATATGGCTCTAATTCCATTTTTTTTCCTTGTGTTTACAAGAGTGCTGCTATTTCCACCCACCTTATCTTCAAAAATTTTAAGACAAATTTACCTCTTCATAAAATGACTTTTAAGGACTTATGGAAAATGATTAAAAAACAAAACAATTGCCTCAAACCTAAAATTAAAAAAAGTTAAAAAAATCCAAAGCACCCCTCAACCTCTCCCTCCTATTTTATCTCCATCCTAAAACCCTAACCCCAAAATTTTTGAGCCAAAACGATGGATTCTTCATCAGAAACTCGAGTCGTCATGTACTCCTCCCACTTGTAGGAGGAGGCCAGCAAATCCCAATGATCAACATGGCAAAAGTCTTCTCCTCCCATGGAGAAAATCCCAATGTAATCAGATGCTCATGTTGAAAATATGTTCTATTAGTTTTGTTTTGGTCGTCAAATCTCTCCAATTAGAGCAAACTATTGCTCTTTTCAGCCATTAGATTAAATTTAAATGACTCACAAGTTAACAAAAAAGAGAATTTGCTTGAATTAATAATTAAATGGTATTTTAAGAATAATGGTGGGTGGAAAGATAGGATTGTGTTTTTTCAAATTTACATGGTAGGTGGGAAGATAAGGTGGGCGGGAAATAGGACAGGTAGGTGGAAATAGTAGTACTCATTTACAATTAGCATGGTTTATATGATTTAATGTATACATTTATTTTTAGAAAAAATATAGAAACTGTAAGTACCAAAAAAATAATTATTTAAAAAAAAGCTTCCACCAAAAAATAATTATTAAACTAATAATAAAATTTAATTAACCCACCTGTTAAAAAATTCATGATTCCGCACTCAATTGAAAGAAAAACAAACACATGTTGCTTGATGACTATGTTAAAATAGGGATCTTCCATGTGAGTTTGATTACTCCAAACCCAACCTTATACGTATACACCTAGAAAAGAATTATATCCGAAAGAAGGGCATCCAAGGAGTAGGTGTGGTGTGGTGTGATATTGGTCTACGTGTCTTTATTGGGATTGTTTTTGAAAGGATTAAAAGCAACCAAAAGTAGTACGGGTTGGCAAAATAAGAAAAAAATCTGAAAACTCACTTTGGATGTCTTTTTAGGCTAATATGTCATACCCCGCAGTGAAATTAACATGAATTTATTGGGGCCAATTAGGAAATGTCCCTCAACTTATTAAGCTAATCACTCAACTTTTCCAATTACGAAATGTCACACTAGCTTTGTCCCATAAGAATCCGTGAACACAGCTAAGATTCTTCGCGTTGTGCATATGATATGCAAGTGCCAAGCTACAATACAAAGTGAAAACCTTGAACAAATGGGACCTCAGAAATCAGTGACTGAGACGTTGTGCTGTGTTTGGGGAGCCACGTCCCTCGTACCGCCATGTATGGACAACACAACAAAAAATGTCCATAAGGCTCTCCAAGCCATCGAACAAATGCAACTGACTGTGAGAGAGCCAGAGCACGTATATGTAATCATCTGTATCTTTTCTTTCTATGAAAATAAAGCAAAAGATTCAATGACAGGGAAGGGCAAGTTTGTCTGCCATTACAAAAGTACTCGTGGCCCCGTGGGACATTGGCCGCCCTGCTCAAAGGATAAAAAATGTGAAGACCCTGAACAAATTAAACTCACCACTGACTAGCGCGCATATGTATGTGCTGCAGCCACGTCCGTCACAATGAGAGAAACATAACCACGTCCCATTTCAATGAGAGAAAGCTACATGTCACGGTGTATATTTCTTTGAGTATGTCGATATGCAATCGGCAGCGTCCATATGTATGGACCATATTTCATTAATGTAATGACTTGAAGTCAAGTTTATCGTCTTCGATCATAACTTATTCTACAAGTAGTTTATTTCGTGTTTATCACTCTGAAGTCATTTAGGCTGAAAAGTCTTGAACCAGATTATAAGTCATTGATCATTATCACCACACACATTCTTGTCTGTGGAGCAGCGTCCATATGCATGGACCCTCTTCCATTAATGTAATTACTTGAAGACAAGTTTATCGTCTTCGATCATAACTTATTCTACAAGTAGTTTATTTCGTGTTTATCACTCTAAAGTCATTAAGGTTGAAAAGTCTTGAACCAGTTTATAAGTTGTTGAAAAATAATGCATATTTGGTGGAGACTTCTACAAGCTAGCAGAGAGTTTTCTAGAATAATTTATGCAAAGTCGGTGGATGTATTCCCTAAACACTAGTCACTAACTTAATTGAAGCTACAATATGTGGCTGAAATTACAAGTTAATGTTGATTTACTAGAATAACCGATTTTACTACTTGGTTTGTTCCCTCTATAAATAGGCATTAAGCTTTCTGTTTGTAATCAAGCTAGTGATAAGGGCCAATAAGCCAAAAATAGGAAGGAGGCCAATAAGCCTAAACACTAGACATTAAACACTTTCTAGTTGAAGAAGGCCAATAAAGCTTATTACTAAAAACATCCTCTGTTTTATGACAAACATTCTTGTCATGCTAATGTGGGACCAAATATACTCATAAATACGGAACTGGAAAGTTTGGTCAAAATCATGACGTCAGATAGGAATGATTAATGGTTTATTTGGTTGATTCCAAATCTTGGGATTTAGATAGCATTATAAGGAGGGCCGATCCATTAATTTCAAAGGCCCTGGACAGAAATATAAATGGAGTCCTTTCATGTTCAATATTTACCTTATTTTGAACAAAAATTAAAATAAAAGTTTCAAACTTAAGTTCATTAATTTATGTAAAAGAGGTCCACTACATGAAAAGTAAAGAAAAAGGCCCACAAAAATTTAGAATAAAGCTCAAAATGCATCAGTTACACACAAAAAAGGCATTTTTGCTATTATATCTCTTGGGCTTAAAGATGTTACAGTACATGAGGCTCCATTTTTTGGGGGTCCTGTGTCGTCGCACAGCCCACATAACCTATGGGTTGGGCCTGATTATAAGGTTAAATTGTTTGTTTACTATATAATTCATGTATGTCAAGATTTTGAATAAGCCGAACATGAAGAATACAAAAAAATTCCAAATAACTCCTTGCATATATAGTAATTTCAAAATCATTCTAAATAAATGTAATACCTAGTTATTTCAAATAAATTTAATCTTTTGTTTTTTTAATTTTATTTAAAAAAAATAGCTTTGTTATCATATACAAATCATGTATTTCAAATACCTCCATCAAAATGGAGCTTAATAGCCACAAATTTGAATCTAAACATTAATAATTCCCTTGATCATCATAAGAGGACTACTACAACTGATTTCCTCATCATAAATGTAACGAATTCAATACTCCATAATTTATGTGAGTATTAGTAATATACACACAAAAAAGAGAGATGCAGCGTCAAATACACATACAGCAGAATACAGTGTCACAATAGCCAAAGAGAAAACCTAGAACAAATGGGACTTCATAAATCTCTGAATGGGAGGCACTTCTCTCGTTCGTACCACAGTGTATGGACAAGACAACAAAAAATGTCCAAGCTCCAAGCTATCCAGCAAATGCATGTGACAAGTGAAAGAGCCACAAGGGATTAAAAAAAAATTGAAGACCTTGAAGAAATTAACGGGACCACCATCTAATAACATTGCGGTAAGTGCCGCGGCCACGTCCTGTACAGAGAAAAATTTATAAGCAATGGTGTATATTTCTTTAAGTGTGTCAATCGACTCATCTCACAACGTAATGAGTTGTGGAAGAAGAGGAGACAGACAGACAGACCGACAAGACTATTACTAAACTATTTTCCAACGTCAGGCTTGCAATGATGGGATTTGTCTCAGCTCTGTTAGTGGAACTATACAATGGCCAAGATGTGTTTGCCCAGATATCCAACGGTGGAGTCTCGTTGTTCGTTGCCACTAGTACTTTGCTCTCTGTGGTATCCTTGGTTCCTCTGTTTAAAGGGGTGAGCGTGGAGTCGAAATCAGATGGGATCGATCATGACCTCTGATGCTGAGCTGTTCAATAATAAGAAGAAAAACATGTGTTGCTAGATGACTAGGTTGAATTTAAAGTAGAGGGATCTCCCATGTGAGTTTGGTTACTCCAAACTTAACCTAATATGCACACGTAGAAACGAATGATACCCACATACATAGAGACAGCAAGGGGCATGCAAAGAGTACTGGTGTGCTATGGACCTAATTATAACTATCTCCGAAGTCACAGCACGTAGAATTGTAGAGAATTTGAGTCATTTGGCAGTTTTAGTACGTGGAAAAGGAAAATGGATCTATTTATCATAAAATTTCCAATTAGGAAATGTCATACTAGCTTCGGCACATTATAATCGGTGAAAATAAGAACACCTAAAAAATGTGAATCGGCCGGTGTGGCATCTCTCAATTTATAAATTTTGGTCTTAATTGCTTGTTACATTGTAAAAAGGGTTAATTACATTTTTGATCACTGGGGTTTGGCCCGAAATCAAATTTAGTCACCGTAATTTCAAGTTTCTCGATTTCGTCACTGTATTAGCATTAGTTAGCAAATCCAATCCAATCTCTCAATTCTGTCAATTTGCTTAATTAAAAAATGTAATTAACCCTCGTAAAAATATGTCAATTTCTTCTCCTCCGAAATTCTTCTTATAAATAATACCATCATACGACATATATGTAGGCATTGGTCCAAATATATAGGAATGATTAAGGGTTCATTGGTTGATTCCATCTTGTCTTTACTAAAAAATAAAAATGAAAAAATAAGATGAAAAAAGTGAATACCTTGAACAAAAGGGGCCTCAAGAAATCAGTGACTGGGACGTTGTAATGTGTTTGCGGAGCCACGTCCCTCGTACCACCATATATGGACAACACAACAAAAAATGCCCGCAAATATATATATGTAATCGTCTTTTGTTTTTCTTTCTCATGAAAATATAAGCCAAAAAGATCCATTGACAGGGAAGGGGCATTTTGTCTACCACTACTAAAATACTCGTGGCCCCGTGAGTCATCGGTCCTCCTGCTCAAATGATTCTTTTTGTTTTTGTTTTTTTAATAAATAAAAGGTGTAGAGCCTTGCCAATTGACATGACCACACCGACTAGTAACATGCGGTAAATCCTGCAGCTACGTTATGTGTCGAGAAAAACTTATATGTAACAGTGTATATTTCTTTGAATATGTCGACTCATCTCATACCTTGTGAGTTATAGAAGAAGATGAGAGATAGACAGAAAGAACTTTTGCTCAACTATTTTCCATTCCGTACAATCCACGCGGCCCATCATTAGTGGGAAAGCAAATAAGTGACGTGGTGCTGCCAAACTATACACCGTTCAAATCAAAGAACTTCCCCCACTAGCTATAAAAAGCCACTCAAGGCATACAAATTTATAATACACAAGATCAATAAACAAGCAAAGCCCTCAAATCTATTCTCTCTGATTTATTAGTGTTTAATTGAGAAGGATATACACAAATACAATGGCTGCATCATCATCTTCCATGCAATCAATATTTCTTGCTAGCTCCGTTGCTTATGGAGCGGGAAAGAACAAATCTGTTGGAGTGAGCCACCTCGTTGCACCAACTCTGCATAGCTACCCTCACATGATGAGGGTAAGCTCGATGGCCAAGGTATATATATATTCATAAGTCTCTAGCTATAATGCATGTGTATTAATGATATTAATTCAACTTTGTCTAATTCATCTCCCATTTGTAGGATGGTCAGAAGAAGCAACCATCCACAGTAACAAATGCATCAAAATTTCCTCCACCTTCACCTTCTCCTCCTCCTCCCGAGGTAGTTTTTCTAATCTACATGTGTGTATATTCACAATATATAATTTAACTACACTAACGAAGTTCAATATATATGGCAGGTTAGCACAAAGTTCTGGGAGTTGTTTGCCTTCAGTGGGCCAGCCCCAGAGAGAATCAACGGCAGGCTTGCAATGGTAGGGTTTGTCTCAGCTCTGGCAGTGGAACTATACAATGGCCAAGATGTGTTTGCTCAGCTATCCAACGGTGGAGTCTCGTTGTTCGTTGCCACTAGTATTTTGCTCTCTGTGGCATCCTTGGTTCCTCTGTTTAAAGGGGTGAGCGTGGAGTCCAAATCAGATGGAATCATGACTTCAGATGCTGAGATGTTGAATGGAAGGCTGGCCATGTTAGGTCTGGTAGCTTTGGTCTTCACTGAGTACGTGAAGGGAGGGACTCTAGTTTAGGTCTCAATCATTTCCGGTGTCTGTTTGTTTGTTTGTTTTTTTTTGTCGCTTAATATGCCTTGTAAAAGTCTTTCACATGTATGCGTATTTTAGTGTTTACAAATGCTTATAAGAATTTCATCGCATTTTGATACTTCATAATCTAATATACTCTTAATTTATTAGCACAAAGATATGTTTAAAATGGTTACTGATTATTCCAACAACAAAACAATAGTCACTGATAATAAGCTTTACATTCATATATTTTCATGTGTTTATTTACATATAATAAATTATTTAATACGTGAGTTCTATTGAAAAATACTTATCAAATATCTCCAGAAATGCGAATCGAATCAACTATCCTCTCCTAATTGATCTGATTCATATTCTTTTTATCCTATTCCATTTCTCCTCGTATACATTGTTGGTAAGTAAACATGCCATATAAAAGAAGACAAAGGACAAAATTAAGCTCGGAGCTTTGTTTTCAAAAGAAAGGATTGGGTGGTGCAGATTTAAATACCCAATAGAAATCCAAACGGTGGCCACGTGGGAGTGGGTCCAAATTATCAGAAAGGATCTTGCCTCCATTTCTTCACGTGGGTTTAGCTTGCGAAGATAAGATTAAGGGAAGCATTAAATGCTCTTCAGAGTTTATGTCTAAAATCAAATCCTACCCCAAAACTATTGGATATTTTGATTATCTTCATCATTCCGAAGCTAATCTAGCTTGCTTAATTTCGACAAGGATTGATGGGTGGTTGCTCCCTATTAACCAATTTACTTCTCCTGCCATCAAGTGGCACTATATTATCAAAAAATTGAGGTTGAGGGAGACACCCTCAATCTCTCAAACAGATTTCAAACTTGATCAACTTGGTCTCAAGTTTCTCAACAACCTTCTTGCTTTCACTCCATTGGCAGAATTAGCAACAAGGCTACCATGGGCTTAAGGTCAGGTAGCCTTTAAAAAAAAATCAAAATATATTATATGTATTTTAATATCATTCACTCTATAAAAAGCTTAGTAGTCCATCCAAATGTAGCCTAGTAACTCATTATCCACTCAACTTTGTAGGCCTATAATCATTTGATATATATTTAATTTGTTTGCTCAATTAAGAAACATAATCCCTTAATAAACACTCAAGACTTTAACGGTCATCATATCACCCGTTGCAATTAACTAGCATGGTTTATATGATTTAATATATATACTTTTATTTCTAGAGACATTACAGAAACTATAAGAACAAAAAAAGAGCATTAGATTTTAAACTAATAACTTTAGCTAGCCCACTCATTGAAAAATTCCTGGTTCCGCTCTTGTTTCACTCTTTAATTTCCAGTTGAGAACTCTTGAGAAATCTCTTGTTTATTTTCTCTGCTTTATTCCTTGGTTGGTATGATTTTTTGTTGAAAATAAGCCCTAACTATGATTGTTTAGTTTTATTGTATTTCATTTTAGGCAGTCCAAACTGAAGTTTTTTCAGTTCGATTCCTTTTCATTTAGTTGTATTTCAGTCCGATCATACTCGTTTTGTTTCTTTTCAGTTTGTAATGTCCCTTCGGACACAATTTCATAAGTATTTGAAGCAGTTAGTTCCGTCTGATTTTCACATTAGCACTTTGCTTTCTTTGAGTTTATAATCGGATAACTGGAAATATTGAAGTCCTTAACAAACTAGACATAGAAAAGAATCAACCGAAGTTAATTCCCCACTTGTAGCACAATAGCTTGAAAAGAAATTAAGATTTCTTAAGTCTCAAGACATCCACATTATTTTCTGTCTGAATCACACTATTTCTATTGGGCTTTCTAGTACCAATAGTGGCACTCCTGAAACTAAATTTGTACAATATAGAATTGATCCCAATTTAGGATGAACAGAGACATTGTGTATAAACGAATAGTTTCGTTTTGAAATGCAAAAATTTGAGTATGTTACCTTTTGAATTGGAAATGGTCTAGAAAAAAAGTCCTACGAATACCCGCCAATATGTATGTGGGTAAGTTATTGTAGAAATTGGTCGTGCACCCAAATGCCACCAACCTTACCATTTTCCTCACCAGAAATGTACAAAGTTCTTCTTGTGTTTACCGAATGATATATATACATCATTCCATTTTCTGCTTATTTATCAAATGCGTACGCTTGATGTTTCAAAAAATCATTATATTTGTTAAAATACACATTCAATAGATAGTCCCCGTACAACAATAACAAAATGCAGCTAAGATTCCTTCTGTGTTTTCCTGCAATGCAACTGTGCCTAGCTACACACTGAAACGATAAAAGAACTGAGTCACTGACTGGTACGTTGTGGTGTGTGCGGGGAGCCACGTCCCTCATCATTACCATGGACAAAGACGAGGATATAACCCACAAAGCTCTCCTCCTAGCCAGCTATCAAACAAACGCAAGGTCGACGACAGCAAAATAATATTTTCCTTTTATTTGTCGTCAAAAAAAAAAAAAAAAAAAAAAAAAAAAAAAAAAAAAATTTCCTTTCGAAAAAAGCAAATGATCCGTTGTGTAGTGCTATTGTCCTCCAGCTGAAGGCTTCAAGGTACTCGTGGCCCCTTGAAACATCGCTCCTCCTACCCAAAAGATCAACAAAAGTGTTCAACACCTTGACCAAATTAAATGTGACCAAATTAGGTGTAGAGCCTTGACAATTGACATGACCACACCGACTAGTAACATGCGGTAAATCCTGCAGCTACGTTGTGTATCGAGAAAAACTTATATGCAACAGTGTATATTTCTTTGAATATGTCGACTCTTCTCATACCTTGTGAGTTATAGAAGAAGATGAGAGATAGACAGAAAGAACTTTTGCTAAACTATTTTCCATTCCGTACAATCCACGCGGCCCATCATTAGTGGGAAAGGAAATAAGTGACGTGGTGCCAAACTATACACCGCTCAAATCAAAGAACTTCCCCCACTAGCTATAAAAAGCCACTCAAGGCGTACACATTTATAATACACAAGATCAACAAACAAGCAAAGCCTTCAAATCTATTCTCTCTGATTTGTTAGTGTTTAATTGAGAAGCATATACACAAATACAATGGCTGCATCATCTTCCATGCAATCAATATTTCTTGCTAGCTCCGTTGCTTATGGAGCGGGAAAGAACAAATCTGTTGGAGTGAGCCACCTCGTTGCACCAACTCTGCATAGCTACCCTCACATGAGGGTAAGCTCGATGGCCCAGGTATATATATATTCATAAGTCTCTAGCTATAATGCATGTGTATTAATGATATTAATTCAACTTTGTCTAATTCATCTCCCATTTGTAGGATGGTCAGAAGAAGCAACCATCCACAGTAACAAATGCATCAAAATTTCCTCCACCCTCTCCTTCTTCTCCTCCTCCCGAGGTAGTTTTTCTAATCTACATGTGTGTATATTCACAATATATAATTTAACTACACTAACGAAGTTCAATATATATGGCAGGTTAGCACAAAGTTGTCGGAGTTGTTTGCCTTCAGTGGGCCAGCCCCAGAGAGAATCAACGGCAGGCTTGCGATGGTAGGGTTTGTCTCAGCTCTGGCAGTGGAACTATACAATGGCCAAGATGTGTTTGCTCAGCTATCCAACGGTGGAGTCTCGTTGTTCGTTGCCACTAGTATTTTGCTCTCTGTGGCATCCTTGGTTCCTCTGTTTAAAGGGGTGAGCGTGGAGTCCAAATCAGAAGGGATCATGACGTCAGATGCTGAGATGTTGAATGGAAGGCTGGCCATGTTAGGTCTGGTAGCTTTGGTCTTCACTGAGTATGTGAAGGGAGGGACTCTAGTCTAGGTCTCAATCATTTCCGATGTTTTTTTTTTTTTGGGCTTAATACTTGTAAAAGTCTTTCACATGTATGCGTATTTTAGTGTTTACAAATGCTTATAAGAATTTCATCACATTTTGATACTTCAGAATCTAATATACTCTTAATTTATCAGCACAAAGATATGTTTACAATGGTTACTGATTATTCCAACAACAAAACAATAGTCACTGATCATAAGCTTTACATTCATCTATTTCCATGTGTTTATTTACATATAAGGAATTATTTAATACGTGAGTTCTATCGAAAAATACTTATTAAATATCTTTAGAAATGAGAATCGAATCAACTATCCTCTCCTAATTGATCTGCATATGTACTCTCACATGAGGGTACGATCGATGGTGGCCAAGGTAATTAATTATAACAAGTCTCTCTAGCTATGTTATATTACGTGCTTTTCTTTTGATTTATGTGCATCTTCATCAGACTTCATCTACAGGGCATACTAATTGAACTGTGTCTAATTATCTTTCATTTGTAGGATGGTCAGAAGGAGCAACCGTCTACAGTAACAAATGCATCAAAAAGCCCACCGATTCTTGCACCTCTTCCTTCCAAGGTATA